TTCTTGACCTTTTGATTTGTTATCTATGAAATATACGGAAGATGATCCATGTAGTGAAGATCAGATGAAGTAATAATGTGAAAGGACTTTACAAACTCTAAGGTGCTAGATATATGTGACGCATTCCTACTAGGAATGTCTAAAGCAAAACGAGGATATCAGTGTACTCTCTGGAAAGAATTATAGGACTTGTTAGTAAAACAAAACAAAACAAAACGAAACAAAAAGCCAACAGCAGTACGTCTGGTGTGATTTGCATTTATGTGAATTTGTATACAGTCAAAACAAACCCATAAGAGAAATGTGTGTGTTTGGTCCACAGATAAATGATGCATGCAGGAAAAAGATGGGAAGGATGTGCACAGAACTGTGGTGATGCCCAGACAGTAGACACTGTTAGCTGTGGGGCAGGAACAGGCTGGGGGAGGTGAGGGGAGACTTTCCCGGAGTGTACCCCCATATTCATAGCGAGCATGTTTTCTGTGTTACTGTAATACTATGGTATTATTAGTAGTAACACAGTACTTCTCTATGACTTAGTTATAAATTAAAACCAAATAAAGCCTTTTTTAATTAAAAAAATTACCTTTGGGGGACTATGGTCAGCAATGGAGGTCATGACACTAAAACTCCTCTTTTGTTATTTATCTTGGTCACATTTTTTCATTCATCCTCTCAGTCAGTCTGCAAGAAATACTTCTTCAGTACTTGTAGGTTATATACTGTGCTAGGCACTGGGTCTCCCCCAAATATAAGGAAATGTTCTTTCCATGATTGGCATCATTTACAGTGTTTAAGTTTAAGTGAAATCCTGGATTGTAAGGGGAACAAAGATCCTCAATAGGATGAAGATGAAATTATATTTAAAGATAAAGAATTGTGGCAGACTCTCTTGGTGACCTACTCTGTATTCATTTTGCCTCCTTTCCTATAAAGATGATCTCGATTTTGTTTAGGTGGTAATATGCCCAGCCTCAGGTGGTGGATCATGATTGATCTTTCATGAAATCCTACTGTTTCCTTTCTTGTTCCCTTGTACTTAGGAGTATCCATGTGACTAGTTCTGGCCAAATAGTTTCTAGAGAAGCTTTTGCTTTCCAAAACCAAAGGACAAACAGAACTGACATCTTTCCTTCTCCTTCTTCCTGCTGGAATGTAAATATGATGGTTGGAGCTGCAGCAGCCATCTTGCTATCACAAAAGAAAGATCCAGAGGACAGTGGAAGTGTTGGCCTTAATGTTGTTGCACCACTGAATCAATGCCATCAACACTCTTCTGTCTCTAAACTTCTCATCATGTGAGAAAGTAAACCACTATTTGTTTAAGATGGATTATCTTTCAGTTGCAGCTGAGTGCATTCCTAACTGATATAGAAATGCATTAAAAATATCTGTATACACACTTGAGTATGATTAGAAAAAATAGTAGTTGCACAACACATTTAAACCCAACATTACATAAGCAATACCCCAATGAACTCTGGTAAATGTTTGTATGATACTAATGTCAAACCTAAGTTTGGACAACATCTCTGATAGGAAATTGAGAAACAGAAAGACATAGTGCCAGAGCCCTAGATGTGGTGCTAGGATAAATTCTGGTTGGGGGGCAGAGGTGAGGACATGCATAGAACTGTGTGGAAGATCTAGGCTATGTGCGGGAACACAGAGGGGCCCTCCACTGTGGTTATACTTAGCATGATGCCAAATATTTTCGATTTTCCTTCTTTACAGGTAGAACTGCCAAATTTGAAACATAAAAAATAGGATGCACAGTTAAATGTCAATGTCAGATAAACAATGTATAATTTTTGCGTGTATTTCAAGTAGTGCATGGGATATACTTATACTCAAAAATTATGCATTGTATAGCTGACATTCAAATTCACTGGGTATCCTGTAGTTAACCTGGCAACTCTATTTATAGGCCTTAATCTCCCTCTAGTTCAGGTAATTGACTAATTAATCTCTTCTTCAACTTCCCCTATTGTAAAGGAGTTCTTGTCAGTCTTAGACCTTGGATTGGAGGAGCTCAAATTCTATCTGCAGCTTTCTCTTACCTAGCATTGAGACCCCGGAAGGTTCTCCACCTTCCATGCTTTAGGTTTCTTCACCTGGGTCTGGGCTAGTTACTTTCTAACATCCCACTGGATCCTAAAACTGGAAGGTTCAATAATTGATACGTGCAAAATGTTGAGTTCAAAATAACTGTAAAACAATTTACAGGGCCCTGCAGTTGGGTTCTAACCAAATATTAGGAAATATTCCATACATGTGAGCTGATTCAAGCTCCACAAGGTATCTAGTTAGGAAATGGGAAGGTCTCTGGAAACATCCAGGGTGTTGTCATGACCAAGACACACAAACAGGTCAAATTAACTGAGCAAACGAGCTTAAAACAAAACGTTTGGTCTCCAAAAGTATGTTATCCCTGCTGGTCAATTAGTTTTTTTCAGAAGAGTTTGTTCCCTTTTCTTGATGTGTGTGTTGATGTCTTTCCATAGTCTGTGGTTTCTCTATATGTATTTAAAGATTAAAAAAAAGTGAGTCATAACATGTTAGACTCACTTAGATCCACTGTGGATTCACTGGTGTGTTTTCTTTTCTCCTTTCTCTAAATTTGGGTGGGGCCTAGAAGAGAGAGGCAAAGGCATGGGCCACCACAAGAGGGACAGGCAGAGATGGGGCTGGCTTGGCCGTGGAGCTTCAAATCAGACCCTCGGCTGGATGCCACAGCTCTTCCACAGGGGAGCTGGCAGCGCTTATTGAAAATTGAATGCCACTGTAGTTATCAGACGAGTCACTGATCAGCACTATGCCTGATTCAGTTTGGCTCCCCAGATCCTCTCAAGTAAATCTCCGCCTAAATTAGAATGAGAAGAGATATTCAGCTTCAGATTTCTGCCAGGCTTTCATTAATTCTCTAGACACCAGCGGGATCTGTCGCACTTCCTCCTTCTCTTTGCCAGCAAAATGACACTTAACGAAGAAGCTACCTCCAAACATGCTGGTACATCCCTGACAAACTTTCATAAATATGCCCAGCTGTTTCCCCAATCTCAGCTCTATGTAGCCTGCAAATTACTGATTAATTTGCACACAGCTGCTACAGATCCTAGGGAGACAAGCTCCTGAGAAACATTCAATGTTGTTGGTATTAAGCCTCTAATTTCCTTAAGTGAAAAGTTTCTAAAGCTGTTCAAATTGTCTGAGGAAGCTGCAAAGGCAGGACTCCTGAGCTTCCTCTCTGCTTGTCTGACAACCTCACGGTTGTGCAGAAAAATCCACTTAACTGTTGAGTGCATGTGCTACTCGGTAATTTTGGAACTACCAAGCCTCTGTTTAGCATTTGTTCTTGAAACATTTTTAAACACCTATTTTACACAAGGCGCAAAAGGAGACAGGGCGCTGTGTGGATGGGACCCTCAGCTTTAGAGTCCAACAGACCTGGATAACAAACCCTACTTCCTTTCTTAATTGGGCCTATGGCCCTGTCCTTATCTGTAATGAATGAGTCCACATCAAAAGGCCCTTGAGGGTATTTAATGAGATGATGTATTTAGCAGGAAAAATTTAAAGTGTTTTTGTAGCCTTTCTCCTCACCCATGCCCAAGCGAAACTTTGGATCCTCTTGCCTGCTTTGGTTTTGCAAATCAGGATAATGGATGGAGAAGGCAGTTTGGAAAGGTCTGGAAGACCATCTACATTAGACTGGGAAGGGCAGAGATCTCCTCCTGAGAGGAAAATTATATCTGCAGACAGATGGGAGGAAGAGGCAGGATGCCAGAAGGACTGAAAGTTTGAGAAAGCATTTGGCAATTTGGGAAGAGAAAAAGGACATGATGGCCATCTCCTGTGCTCTGCCATGTGAGATATGGAGGAAGAGCAAGAGTAGGTGACAGAAAAGGAAGGTAAACATTTTGCTATGGGTTATAAGTCAGTCTTCCGGAGTTGTTCAATTCTTTTTAGATATTGGAACCTCTGAAGAGTTTTGGGTGTGGAAAGGACATGGCTGTAGCTTTGTTTCATGATCATTATGAGGCAGGGTGGAAGATGCTCTGGGGAAGGGGGGCTGGACAAAGGTGGGATATCGGAAGACTAGACTAGACTAGACCCGATGAGAACTTACTAATGCTAGGTATTCTGTAGGATCTTCAGCAATAGCTTGAGAAGGTGGGTGGTGAATCGAACTGGATCTTTCCTCTTAAGAGTCTCTTAATCTAGGATACTTTTCCCATGCCTCTCTGAATGGCCACATACTTCTCAATCTTCAAGATCCAACTCAGGTTCTTCCACCTCCTAGGCCTCTCCACTGCTCTCAACTCCATCATTTCCAAAGTTCAGATTTCTGAATCACAACCTATTCCACCATCTTCATATCTAGCCACCATTGTTTAATTATTTCCTGAGCCTGACTCCTTTTTCCAATTAGACTGTAAGCTTCTGGAAGGCAGTTGCTCTGTAACTCTCTTTTGTCCTTGGTGCCAAGCAAACTACTAAAAACAAAGAAGTAGCTATTGGATTGGAACAGAGTTGGGTTTTAGGATGTACCTTGCAGATGACTGGTACAGAAGTATGAGGATAAGGTAGGAAGGAAAGAGTTATAGAAAAATGGGAGATGTACACAGATAAACTTTGAATTTTCCGTGAAAGTGGGAATCACCCTGCACTATCTTTGAAGAATTTGGAAAATCAACTTAACATAATATAAATACATACAGGAATTTGTAATTGTTCTTCTACTGAGCTAAGCAATGACCCCTCCTGGGAGCAGGTAAAAGAACAAACAAGTCACTGTTTGGATACACCAATGTTCGAGTTGATCCTTCTTTAATTGAAGTCTTGTCCAAAGGGACTGACTTATTAATCCAGATGCTTCAGGTGGTTATATATTTGTTGGATTTCTATAATCTCATTCCTCTAAAAATCCTGAAATGATGCCTAGAAAAGACTTCATCTTAGTTTAAATAAGATTTTTATTGTTGATCTCTGATCCCCAGGTTGAAGCAAGGCAACAGAATCCCTGAATAGCAGAAATCAAAAGCCCTACATGTTCCAAGAATCACAAAGTTGAGGTTTACATTTGACAGTGATAAAGAAGAAATGCAAGGGAGGAGAAACACGTAAGAGAAAAGCAACAGCTGGTTTGGTTTGTTTGTTTCAAGGTATTTGGTTTGTGTGTGCTTTTTAAGAAATGAATTAAGAAAACTTTAAAAAACGAAGATGTTCTTGTCTTGGCTATTTTCTATAATGCTTCAATGAACACAGGGTGCATATATCTTTTAGATTTAGTGTTTTTGTGTTCTTTGGATAAATACCAAGAAGTGGAATAGCTGGATCATATGGTGGTTCTATTTTTATTTTTATTGAGGAATCTCCACCAATGAATGGAAAAAGAAAATGTGGTATATATATTTTTTATTATACATATATTATGGAATACTACTCAGCCATAAAAAATGAAATCTTGCCATTTATGACAACATGGATGGACCTTGAGGGTATTATGGTAAGTGAAATAGGTCAGATGGAGAAAGACAGATACTGTATGATTTCACTCATTTGTGGAAGCTAGAAAAACAAAAAACAGACAAAAAACAATAAATAAACACATGGAACATATTGGTGGTTGTCAGAGGGGAAGGACGGGTGGGGAGAGTGAAAGTGGTAAGGGGGGACATTTGTACAGTGATTGGTGGAAACTAGACTTTGGATGATGAATACAATGTAGTATATACAGAAGTTGAAATATAATGATGTACACCTGAAATTTATATAATAAAAAAACAAAGACATTCAGATGGTGAGGTTGGTGGCTTGCAAACATTTTTCCATTTTCATGCAGACAAACTGAGACCCAGAAAGATGGTGCCATTTGAAAATAGCCAGTTAAAGCATGCTAGCTTGCTCACCAGGAGAATTTGTCTTTAAAAATATTTATCATACAAAAACTTCCAAGATCTATACATGAAGGAATGTCTAGTCCTGTAACAAAGGGATTATTTGCTTTACAGAATGATTTTTCCAAATTTCCTTTAAAAACCAAGCCAGCCAGTGCACTTGAATTTCAATTTGATTTTTAGATATTTGATTTTTCATGAACCACAATTTTTCACGAACCCTTCAATTGCATAAAAACATATTAAAATGCAGCAAAGCCAAGTCAGTTCAGTTTCAACCTGAATTAGAAGTGACCAAAGTGTCTGTAGGGTGCTATTTCTTGCAGATCAGCTTATACTTAACTTTATTTCCTTAGAAAATGGGAAAAACATTCTTTTTTGACTCTGTGTGACTTTCCACCACAGATATATATTCTCAGGTGTGATTCAGCTTTATCTTCTTTTTTCTTATCTGCCTAAGAAGATGCACTTGTTCAAAACCAATTTACTTGGCTAATTCTTTCCTCTGTCATCTTTATAATTATTTCCGATAGGCCTTGGCCAAATAATTCTTTCTCCATCATGTGGTTTCATCTCGGCTGAAAGTTTGTGTCGCAAAGTCTGTTGTCATGGCAACAGCTGGGCTGTTACTAGCTCAATATTATGGTTTTACTGCAAGAAAAGGAAAAGGGAAGTGAGCAGGGCTGGAGGGGAGCATGTGGCCATTTCCACATATTATCTTTTTTTAAGTAATTTATCTTATCATCACTGTCATAGCTAATTTCTTTGCATGATTCTCTTTTCGGGGACCTTGAGTTCTACTACATGCATCATCTTATGCACATTTATAATTTAAGATTTATTGGGAGGGGACCATAGGTGTGGTCCAGCATAGGCACAGCAATTCATCAGTTTGGGCTTGCATTCCACAAATATGCACTGAGTACCTATTCTGTGCCATGGAAGGTTTCAGGAGCTGGATCCAGCAGTGAACGTATCAGACAATGGCATGGTTCTCCTTCAGCCAACATCCTAGTGGAAGAGTCAGGCAGGGAACAACTAAATGCATACATGAAATGCATTCCAATAGCTAGATGTGGCACAAAGAAGAAAAATGGATCACTATGACAGAGTGATGGGGGAGCGTTGGATAGGGCACTCAGGGAAAGCCTGAAGAGTTGACATTGGAGCTGATGCCTGGATGATGAGAAGGAGTGGAGCATGTGGACATGGTGGGAAAAGGCTTTCCAAGCAGAGGGAACAGCAAGTGCAAGGAAACTGAAGCATGAAATTGCTTGAAATTTTTTAAAGAAAAATGGCCAATGAGTCTGGAGGGTGCTGAGCAAGGGAATGAAGGGCAGGAGAGGTCTCAGAGGTGAGCAGGGGTCCAGTGATCGGTGGTGACAACCAGGGTCAGCTTCATGGGTGATTGACCTGTGCAATCGCACAGGGCCTTGCAATCAGAGGGGCCCAGCATTTAGTTCAATGCTCTGCTATTGCTGTCTTGAAAGTCTTAATAATTTTATCTTTAAACTTGCATTTTATATGTGAAATCTGAGACAATGGAGCACGTGCATGAGCAGAGGCAATATGGGCAAGATCTGTTTGTTGTTCCTTATCACCCTACTTGCCTACAGTGTTTGTGATGGCTTATGAATGCAGAATTCCAGCCAACCCCCCATGTGCGCGAGTTTAGCAAGACTCAAAATGAGTACAGCTTAATTGTGTTGTATCAACAACTGAGTAAGTGGGGGCGCTAACAGCCGAGAGTGGCCATGCACTGTGTTTGAACCAGAAATTGCTTTGAAGGCAGAAAGAAGGCAATGGTGTTCTAAGAAACGCAAGGATCAAAGAAACATATTGTATCCTTTCTCACTCATGTTTCTTCCCTGTGTTAGCCAGTGACTTACCTGGGAATGATGACATAGAAGGAAAGGGAAAGACAGACAACTCATGGTTCCTTTTCCTTTCAGTCCTTCCTCACTCATCAGTAAGCCAAAGGTAGACAGTGTATTTGCATTTAACACTGGCATTGCATAATGTAAAGATGCAATGTAAAATTCATGCTAATAATTTAAATTTCTCATTTTCCTTTACTGAGAGTGACATTAAATGGCAAACAAAAAGCACCATGACCGGCTGAGTGAAAGACTGCGGAAGAAAGGAAAAAGCTTTATATTTTAGTACATTTCACAGCACTCACTTTTTTTCCTGTTTTTTTGAACAAAGGGTCTCTTAGTCCATTTGGGGGGCTATAATAGAATACCAGAGACTGAGTGGCTTAAAATCAGCATAAATTTCTTTCTCAATTTTGGAGGCTGGGAAGTCTGGGATCAAGACGCTGGCAGATTTCATGTCCGGTGAGGGCTCTCTTCCTGGTTTATAGACTGCCATCTTCCTGCTGTGTCCTCACATGGCAGAAGGGATAAGGGAGCTCTCTGGGGTCTCCTATATAAGGGCATTAATCCCATTCATGAGGGCTCTGCCCTTATGAGCTAATCACTTCCCAAAGGCCCTGCCTCCTAACACCATCACCTCAGGGGCTGGGATTTCAACATATGATTTTAGGAGGGACACAAACATTCAATGTCTAACAAGGGGCCCTGCATTTTAATTTTTCACGGGACTCCACAAATTATGTGGCCGCCCCCGGTGATAACATAAGTTACAAGAGAACAGGTACTGTTACATATAAGAAGTTAGGAAAATTACCAAGCATTTCTGAGCCTCGATTTCCTCAGCTCTAAAATGCAGATACCAATACCCCATGAATGAGGTTGTGATGAAGATCATTCCACAAGATACTGCACATCCCTCACTGGCGGAGTCCTTTATATTTGGCAGGCATTCGGTAAGAGGTCAATGCAGTGCTGGTAGAATCACCCTGTATATACGAGGTTCCGTGTGGATATGATTTATCTTGGGCTTGTCGAGATGGGGAAGGCCTTTCAGGTGAAACAATCTTTACATCTCCATAGAGAAATTCTGACAAAGGAACTTGCGAGAGAGCGTAAGCTAATCTATCCCACAATACCTACACTTCAGGAAAGCATTTGACAAATTATTTTATGTTCTTTTCTGGAAAAGGAAAAATGTAGGCTGGATGTTGAGTCTGATAGATTTGTGTCGATTCAGGAACTTTACTAGGAGAATTTGATCAATGGATCATGGTGGCCTGGAGAGTGGATTCCAGGGGTATGCCAGAGAACTTTGTTGTTGGCTCTGTCTGTCGTGTTTAATATTTAATATGGTGGCTTCATTAAAGACACATCAGGCACAGTTACCAAATACGTAACTGATAGAATGTTAGAAGGAAGAGCTAAAACTTTAGGTGACTGATGCGTGGTTCAAAAGTATTTCGAGAGACTGGCATCGTGAACTAAATCTAACAGGATGGAATTTAATACGGTTAAAGTTAGCCAAAGTAACAGAGGATGAAGCATCCTAGGCTTAAAGAGCATCCTGTGACATGGGGCTAAGGCGCAGAACTGGCTGTGAGTCATTCAGTAAGCAGATCTTTTTGCTTGACAGCCACTAAGTGCCACTCATCAAGCTGGTTGCTATGAGGAATATGAAGCTGCTAGAAATGGGGAATTCAGTGATGAACATGGCAGATACAACATGACTCAGCCATGGCAGGTGATCTGGGGGGAGGCAATGCTGATGTCGATTGAACATGAACTTCATTCATTATTTTGTTTGAATCATGAGATCACGGACTTATTACATAGTCTTATTGAATATGGGGATTTATGTTTAGCTCTTGGAGTTTTGCAAGGCACATCCAGAGGAGGATGCTATGGACAATAAAAATTTTAAAACTCTGTCCCATGAGGAATGAATGGAATGATTGAGGGTTTCCCATTGATATTGCTATTGTAATTGATGATACTTTGTTACATTAAAACCAAACCAAACCAAAAAATAAAATCTCTGAGTTAGCTAATTTTGCACAGTTCGGCTGGAAAACGCACTTGGGAAATGCTCAATTGCTCTCTTTAAATATTTAACAGACTTTTCTGTGGAAAATAAAATTAGGCTTTCTCCGTGTTGAACCTTATTTAGAATTAAGACAAATGAGTGGATGTTACAGGAAGATGGATTTTGCTTCCGTCTATACAAAGACTTTCTTCTGGGAGTTGCTCTTCTCATCACAGAATTGTCCTTTTTGAGCCTAAATGACTATTTTTCAGGCATGATGCTGAATTAAAGATTGAACTATACAGCGTCTATGGTTCTTTCTTATGCTAAGGTTTCATAATTGTTATAGAATTTAATGC